TTTTTTTCGTAATGTGTATAGTATTCTTTGAATTAATTTCTGGTAGAGAAATAAGGATTTTGCAGTTAAGCTCCGCCTTCTTGGCTCACAACGAATAAAATGATCATCAGAATTGAGATAGGGTGGGCGGGCGGGGCTTATATTTTGGCCTTTTGTTCTTAATATACGTAGCCATCTTTTCGCAACAAGAAACTTAGAACATGGTTAAAATGGTATATTTTTGCAAGGAAATATGGATTTTGCAATTATGGGGCGGAACTTATTTACAAAATCGAAATTTCCCTTTAAAAATTTTCCATTTTAAACATGTTTTAAGATTCATGTTGTGAAAAGAAGTCTACACATATTAAAACAAAGAAGCAAAATGTAAGCCCGCCCACCCGCCCTATCTCAATTGTGATGATTTTTTTATTGGCCGAAAACCAAAGGGGCGGACCTTAACTGCAAATACTTATTTCTTTCCAATAAATTGAAAACATGTTTTTGAGTAGCATGCTGTTCAAACCAACTATGTATATTAAAAAAAAATGGCAAAATATAAACCCCGCCCACCCACCCCGTCTCAATTGTGATGATTTTTTTTATTCTTAGAAACTTAAAACACGTTTAAAATGGTAAAATTTTGTAGGGATACATGGATTTTGCACTTAGGCTCCGCCTCTAGGTCTGCCAACGAATGAAAACTTCATAACTATTTAGATCAGGACAGGTATGGGTGGAATTAAATCTTTGGCTTTAATTTTTTCTTAATATATGTACATAGTATTTTTTGAATAACACGCTACTCAAAACATGTCTTACAGGCTAAATTCTTGTAGAGAAATAATAAAAATTTTGCAATTAAATTCCGCTACTTTAGCTCTCGACGATTAAAAAAAATCATCACAATTGTGATACGGCGGGGCTTATCTTTTACTCTTGTTCTTAATAATTAGGCTCCACCCCATAATTGCAAAATCCATACTTCCTTGCAAAAATGGTCCATTTTAACAATGTTTTAAGTTAAGTCGTCTTTTTAGAACAAGGACCTTAAAACATGTTTGAAACGGTAAATTCTTGTAGACAAATATGGATCTTGCAATTAAACTCCGCCTCTCGATCTGACAACGAATTAGAAATTCATCACAATTGTGAATTGCGATCGGGGCGGGTATGGGTGGTGCCTAATCTTTAGCCTTATTTTTTTCTTAATATATACATATACATTAGGGTGATTCAAAAAAAAAAAATATTTTTTTTTTTCGTGCAAAGAGGTTCAAAAGTTTCTTTTCAACGTAAAAAAATACCAGTTAAAATTTGAGCTCTTAATATTAACATTAAGACCGTCCGCATCGCGTTTTTCTATTTCCCATAAGAATAACATGGGAAAATTTTTGTTTGCACCTTCTGATTTTTATTGCTAGCCCGTCGTGTGTCGTGAAAAAAATTCAATCACATATTTTTATAGAGAATTGAACGCTCTACAAAAAGTGTCTCCTATGATTGTGCGAGAAACCTGATAGTTGAAGAGTTATTTTAGGCTAAAGTTAAATTTATCCAAATTTTGACGTTTTTGATGCATTACAATAAATTTGATGGTCTTATTGGAATAAATCACCACAAAAATTTATACACATTTTAAATTTAGTTTTTTAAACAGTAATTGTTTATAATTTTATGCTATAATAAGGCCAGTAAAACTCTTTCCGAACATTTTCAGCATCAGTGGGTTAAAAAATCATAGTCAGGTTTCTCGCAAAATCATAGGAGACACTTTTTGTAGAGCGTTCAATTCTCTATAAAAATACTTTTTGTAGAGCGTTCAATTCTCTATAAAAATACTAGCTGACCCGGCCACGCGTTGCTGTGGCTAAAGTTTTTGTTATATTACATTATAGTAAACAATCTAAGAGGAACAATAAGAGAACATCAGTCACGGAGTCCACTATGCTTTTTCACACAGATGGTATTTGTAAAAAAATATGGTGATCTCCTTATTTGACTTTCTACTACTATAACCCTTTAGTAAGAAAGTAAATAGATAATTGTCAAATTTACCGGTATTTGGATCATACTGTTTGATATTAAGGTGATATTCATCTTGTCCTTGCCAAAATATCAATGGATATTGTAGTGCGTCATATGAACGGTGTACGTAGATCCGAAATCGTACTGACAGTGTTGTCTCGCCGTGTAATTTTTATAGATCTTTTGTCAACTGGATCACCAACCATGATAACAGCAACCTCATCAACAGTTGGAGCGTTGAATCTACCAGCGTGTTCACCTAATGGTACTTTGTCGGCTTTTATGACGATTTGATAATTGTCATTTTGCAGTCGTGGCGAAACTCTTTTGATCAATTGAATCAGTTGATTGTGATCTTCTAAAAAATTTTCCAATAATATCACAATTGCTCTTTCCTCTGCTTGTTCAATAAAATTATACAGGCACCGAGTCGTCACGCGCTCTTCACAATCGCCCATAAAATAAATTTGAAGAAATTTCGGATTGTTATCAGGCATTGGCATCAGTGATCCGATTTTATGGTACACCTGGCCTTGAATTTTGAATGTAGTTTCAAAATTACGTCCATCGGATGCACGATCGCAAATTTTAGTTGCCCCAAATGACGTCATTTGGAAGCAAGAATTAAATTTGCGTATCTTACGCAAAAATAATTTGGAATCATCTGAATTGCCAGTAAGAAGGGATAATAAAGGCTCCGGCGGAGCGGGTAGAGGTGACAGCACAACTTTTCCTGATGCGCAGCACATGCCGGCTGCTTCATTCCGAAATTTCAATGCCTGACAATATTGACATACTTTATCCATTCCACCGATAGCAATTTTTGAATGCGCTGAGTAGTTAATATCTGGTGAATATTCAAAGGCAAGCCGAACGAATGATGCACGTGTTAATGAGCGGCTGATCCGTTGCCTTTGTCGATCTAGTACTCGTACTGTAGCTATGTTTCGTTCTCGTGCCGCTCTTGTTCTCGTAATATTCTGTTGCCGACGTTCGTCACGCTGTTCTTGAGATTCTTGTGCACGACTTTCTGCAGTTCTGATTCTTTCAGCTGCATTTCTTGTTTCTATTTGTTCTGGTAATTGCTGAGCTCTTTCAACACGTTTGCGTCGTGACCCTTTGCTGCTCGCGTTGTTGAGGTTAGATTTTTTCGGTGACATTTGACTGACAATAATAATTTAATCGTTTAAATATTAGAAACCCAGTCGAAAGGTATCGACATCTGTTAGAATCATTTGGAGTTAACAGATAATTGTGACTGTCAAATAATAGCAGACAAATAATTAGCAATAAATTAAAATTGCGACTATAATTTGAGATTTAAACTATCATATCTCTCAAGTTGGATCGAACTGCACATGGTGTGCGAATTTTATTATAATCGGTTAAGTGGTTTAGGAGTCCATTGAGGACCAACATTGTGACACGAGATTTATATATATTAAGATGTGATTGAATTTTTTCACGACACACGACGGGCTAGCAATAAAAATCAGAAGGTGCAAACAAAAATTTTCCCATGTTATTCTTATGGGAAATAGAAAAACGCGATGCGGACGGTCTTAATATTAACATTAAGAGCTCAACTTTTAACTGGTATTTTTTTACGTTGAAAAGAAACTTTTGAACCTCTTTGACACGAAAAAAAAAATTATTTTTTTTTTTTGAATCACCCTAATATACATAGTATTCTTTGAATAACACGATACTCAAAAACATGTTTTTAATTTCTCGTACAGAAATAAGGGTTTTGCAGTTAAGCTCCGCCCCAATCGCTCACGACGAATAAAATAAAATCATCACAATTGAGAGAGGGCGGGTGGGCGGGGCTTATATTTTGCCTTTTTCTTAATATGTATAGTTATCTTTCCACAACAAGAAACTTAAAACATGTTTAAAATAATAAATTTGTATAGGGAAATATCGATTTTGCAATTACGCTCCGCCTCTCGGTTCACGGCGAATAAAAAATCATCAGAATTGCGATAGGGTGGGCGGGCGGGGCTCATATTTTGCTTTTTATTTTTCTTAATATACATAGCCATCTTTTCACAACAAGAAACTTAAAAGATGGTTAAAATGGTACGTTTTTGCAAGAAAATGGGGCCGAGCCTAATTCTAAAATCGATATTTCCTTATACAAATTTTTCATTTTAAAGATTTTTTTTTATTCGGAGTGAAGCAAGGGGGCGGAGCTTAACTGCAAATACTTATTTCTTTACAAAAAATTACAAACATGGAGTATCGTGTTGTTCAAACAATTCAATGTTTATTAAGATAAAAAGGCAAAATATAAACCCCGCCCACCCACCCCGTCTCAATTGTGATGATTTTTTTTGCTTGGAAACTTAAAACACATTTAATTAAGTAAATTTTTGCAAGGAAATATGGATTTTGCATTTAGGCTCCGCCCCTAGGTCTGGGAATGAATGAAAACCTCATTACTATTTAGATCAGAACAGGTATGGGTGGTTAATTTTTTCTTCATTTTTTGTAGAGAAATAACAAGGATTTTGCATTTAAATTCCGCTTTTTTGGCTCTCGACGATTAAAAAAAAATCATCACAATTGAGATAGGGTGGGTGGGGGGGGCTTATGTTTTGCCTTTTTTGTTAATATACGTTGTCGTCTTTTCAGTACAAGAAACTCAAAACATGTTTAAAATATCGGAGAATAAAACAAACGTGTGACGATTTTTTAATTGTTAGAAACTTAAAACATGCCTATGTTTTCAGCTTTAAAAGCAACGTCAGCGAGAACAGCAATTGCAACGGAAACGTCAACAGAAAGGTTATAAATTCCACTTTAGAGAAGTTGTTTGGATTCTGTCGTAATGGTAAGAAAGCTAGGTTATGACTTTTTAATAATAATAATCAACAACAAATTTTGATTTAAATTAAATGTCACTGTCAACCCTGTTAGTTTTGGCAACAAATAGTACGGGGGTGACAGTTCTACCAATTTCAAACAAAATTTGTTGATACCAACTGAAACACTTTCGCATAAAATTTATTGAGTCGTGTCATCCACTTAGAATAAATTTAAAAGCAGCAATTTAGGATCCTGTATTTGTTTCTTCAAAGTCTGCACAAATCGTGCCATTGTGGCACCATCAACTATCCGGTGGTCCGCACTTCCGCTTATCGTCATAACTTCTACAGGAACAATGTTATTAGTTTCGTCGAATCTAGGGAGAACCTAAAACACAAAAAATCGGGGACATTTTCAAAAACAAAGACAGTATATTATTTATACTTGTGATGCTCCTAAAGCGATGATGGCCACTTGCGGTGGCATAATGACCGGGTGCATATAAGTTCCTCCAATCTACAAAAAAAAAAGAAAAAAATGCAACCTTCAAAAAATATAAGTCACGTGTCTTACAGCGCCTATATTTGAGATTGTAAAAGTCCCCCCTGCCAGATCTTGTGCCGAAAAAACACCATCACGCCCACTCTGAATTAGCCTAGTCAGTTCTGAATTAATTTCCAATATGTTTAATCTCTCAACATTTTTGATCACCGGTACCGCTAGTCCAGCTTTAGTATCCATTGCCACTCCTATATTGTGTTCGCTTTTGTATATCACGTTTTCAGATTTTTCGTCTAACATGGCATTTAAAATTGGAAGTCGCTGCAACGCATTCGATGCCGCTTTTATAAAAAAGGGCAAAAACGATAGTTTCAGGTTTTTATGATCCTGATTTTGTTTGAGATTTTGTCTTAAACGAGATAACTCGGTGACTATTATTTCATCACCGTACACGAAATGGGGTATTTTCTAAAATAAATCATTGTAATGTAGGTAATGACTGAATTTTGTTGTTTTTACCAGGGAATTAGTCATTGTTTTAAACATTGCTTTCTGGAAACCTGTCATTGGTTCTATCCTGTCTTGTGCGGTAGTTACAACAGGAGTTTCGTCTTGAGTAGTCTGTGCGAGGTGCTTGAGTACGTCTTCTTTAAGAATTCTTCCATTTTTACCACTACCTTGAATACCAGATAAATCAAGCTAGAATTTGTCAGTTGGTATGTTGTTTGAATTTCGCGCCAGCGCACTACATACCATATGTTCCTTGGCAAGTCTTCTAACCGAAGGAATACATAATGATGTATTGTTAATAGTTTCATTCGGATTTTCTTCTATTACGACTTGTTCATTTTTCGCCGTTTTTGTACTTTTGTTAATTTCTTCCCCATTTTCGGTTTCAATATCCACAAGTGGCTTTCCCACCAAGGCAGTTTCGTCGATTTTATAATGTAACTTCTTTATAACTCCATCATATTTACTTGTAATAGTAACAGACGCTTTGTCACTTTGAACTTCACAGATCTCGTCAAACTGAGACACTTTATCACCAACTTTCACAAACCATTCTTTTACCAGCACTTCCCTTATACCTTCTCCAATGTCAGACAACTTAAACGAAACTTGTGCAGCGTGTTTAGCATACGTGTAAAAATTCTTTGCATTCTGGAATAATTAATTATATTAATAAAAATGCATTAATCTCGATTAAATATACACGTATACTTGCCATAAACTTTGAACTCACGCCACACAATTGGGTAATCTTTACAAGCATGTTTCTTGTTGTTTCCAACTACAACGACGATTATGAACTGTTATCTTGACGCTAATCGTACTGAGCGACGTAATGTTCGTCGTTTAAATACTGGGGCATATCTGTAATTATTATCTATCTTTGAAAGATTTGAATTTGGCGCTTCAAACTTTCAAGTTGATTTGATTGTTCGTGTTTTTTCACTAGAACCCACTTTTATCGATGAAAAAGCAAATATAGTGTGTAACATGTAGCACCGGCTCTATTAAATCAAATAACCTTATCTTAAGGTCAACTTACTTTGAAGGTTACGAGTAAATAAATATTCAAAATTCGATTCACTTTACTACTTATTACCATAGATTAATATAGATGCGACATACAGGCTGATTTTGCAAAACCACCCTTATTGACATTCGAGTCCTCAACTGCCAAAGGCAAGTGTCAAATTTAAATAATTAAAGTCGAAAAATTAAAAAATCAAAAACCTCTAAAACTTAAAAATGCGAAAAATGAAAAATTGAAAAAGTAAATTGATTTTTCAGTTTTTAATTTTTCAATTTTTTGATGTTTCAGGTTTTCGATATTTCAATATTGGGACTTTTCACTATTTGGTCAATTTTTCAATTTTTTTATTCGAAAAATTGAAAATGGAAATATTTAAAAATCAAAAGTGTTAAAATTCAGAAACGAAATATTGAAAAATCCCAAAGCAAAAGTCGAAAAATCCAAAAATCGAAGTCAAAAAATGGAAAAACTTAAAAATCTAAAATTTAAAAATTGAAAAATTTAAAAATCGTAAATGTAAATGGATTTTTCAATTTTTGAAGTTTTAGATTTTTTAATTTTTCGATTTTTCGATATTTCAGTTTTGGGATTCTGCACAATTTGGCTTCAATTTTTCCCTTTTTTTATTCGAAAAATTGAAAAATTAAAAAATCTAAAACTTCAAAAATTGAAAAATCGATTTACATTTACGATTTTTCGATTTTTCATTTTTTTACCTTTTTGATTTTTCAATATTTCGATTAAAAAAATTGAAAAATAGAAGCCAAATAGTGAAAAATTCCAAAACTGAAATATCGAAAATCAGATGCATCAAAAAATCGAAAAATTGAAAAATTAAAAATCTAAAACTCAAAAACTGAAAAACAGATTTACTTTTTCGATTTTTCATTTTTTGGATTTTTTAATTTTTCAATTTTTGGGCCTTTGAGTTTCTGATTGTTCTATATTTCGATCCGGTTTTTCGATTTTTCAATTTTTTACCTTTTTGATTTTTCAATATTTCAATTTTTCAACTTTTCGATTATTCATTTTTTTTAATTAAAAAAAAATGGAATAATTGAAGCCAAATAGTGAAAAGTCCCAAAATTGAAATATCGAAATCTAAAACATCAAAAAATCGAAAAATTGAAAAATCCAAAACTCAAAAAATGAAAAATCGATTTACTTTTTCTATTTTCAATTTTTACATTTTTTAGCTTTTCGATTTTCGACTTCTACTTTTTGATTTTTCGAGTTTTCAATTTTCTTCCATTTTTCAATTTTCGAGTCTTGAGCTTCGGGATTTTTCAACCTTTCCATTGGATTTTCCAATTTTTTACCTCTTTGATTTTTCATTATTTCGATTTTTTAACTTTTCTCTATTTTTCAATTTTTCGAATAAAAAAAGAGAAAAATTGAAGCCAAATTGTGAAAAATCCCAAAACTGAAATATCGAGAAATTGAAAAATTAAAAAATCTAAAACTTCAAAAATTGAAAAATCGATTTACATTTACGATTTTTCGATTTTTCATTTTTTTCCCTTTTTGATTTTTCAATATTTCGATTTTTCAATTTTTCGATTAAAAAAATTGAAAAATAGAAGCCAAATAGTGAAAAACTCCAAAACTGAAATATCGAAAATCAGATGCATCAAAAAATCGAAAAATTGAAAAATTAAAAATCTAAAACTCAAAAACTGAAAAACAGATTTACTTTTTCGATTTTTCATTTTTTGGATTTTTTAATTTTTCAATTTTTGGGCCTTTGAGCTTCTGATTGTTCTATATTTCGATCCGGTTTTTCGATTTCTCAATTTTTTACCTTTTTGATTTTTCAATATTTCAATTTTTCAACTTTTCGATTATTCAATTTTTTTAATTAAAAAAAAATGGAAAAATTGAAGCCAAATAGTGAAAAGTCCCAAAATTAAAATATCGAAATCTAAAACATCAAAAATCGAAAAACTGAAAAATCCAAAACTCAAAAAATGAAAAATCGATTTACTTTTTCTATTTTCAATTTTTACATTTTTTAGCTTTTCGATTTTCGACTTCTACTTTTTGATTTTTCGAGTTTTCAATTTTCTTCCATTTTTCAATTTTCGAGTCTTGAGCTTCGGGATTTTTCAACCTTTCCATTGGATTTTCCAATTTTTTACCTCTTTGATTTTTCATTATTTCGATTTTTTAACTTTTCTCTATTTTTCAATTTTTCGAATAAAAAAAGAGAAAAATTGAAGCCAAATTGTGAAAAATCCCAAAACTGAAATATCGAGAAATTGAAAAATTAAAAAATCTAAAACTTCAAAAATTGAAAAATCGATTTACATTTACGATTTTTCGATTTTTCATTTTTTTCCCTTTTTGATTTTTCAATATTTCGATTTTTCAATTTTTCGATTAAAAAAATTGAAAAATAGAAGCCAAATAGTGAAAAACTCCAAAACTGAAATATCGAAAATCAGATGCATCAAAAAATCGAAAAATTGAAAAATTAAAAATCTAAAACTCAAAAACTGAAAAACAGATTTACTTTTTCGATTTTTCATTTTTTGGATTTTTTAATTTTTCAATTTTTGGGCCTTTGAGCTTCTGATTGTTCTATATTTCGATCCGGTTTTTCGATTTCTCAATTTTTTACCTTTTTGATTTTTCAATATTTCAATTTTTCAACTTTTCGATTATTCAATTTTTTTAATTAAAAAAAAATGGAAAAATTGAAGCCAAATAGTGAAAAGTCCCAAAATTAAAATATCGAAATCTAAAACATCAAAAATCGAAAAATTGAAAAATCCAAAACTCAAAAAATGAAAAATCGATTTACTTTTTCTATTTTCAATTTTTACATTTTTTAGCTTTTCGATTTTCGACTTCTACTTTTTGATTTTTCGAGTTTTCAATTTTCTTCCATTTTTCAATTTTCGAGTCTTGAGATTTTTCAACCTTTCCATTGGATTTTCCAATTTTTTACTTCTTTGATTTTTCATTATTTCGATTTTTTAACTTTTCCCTATTTTTCAATTTTTCGAATAAAAAAAGAGAAAAATTGAAGCCAAATTGTGAAAAATCCCAAAACTGAAATATCGAGAAATTGAAAAATTAAAAAATCTAAAACTTCAAAAATTGAAAAATCGATTTACATTTACGATTTTTCGATTTTTCATTTTTTACCTTTTTGATTTTTCAATATTTCGATTTTTCAATTTTTTGATTAAAAAAATTGAAAAATAGAAGCCAAATAGTGAAAAACTCCAAAACTGAAATATCGAAAATCAGATGCATCAAAAAATCGAAAAATTGAAAAATTAAAAATTTAAAACTCAAAAACTGAAAAACAGATTTACTTTTTCGACTTTTCATTTTTTGGATTTTTTAATTTTTCAATTTTTGGGCCTTTGACTTTCTGATTGTTCTATATTTCGATCCGGTTTTTCGATTTCTCAATTTTTTACCTTTTTGATTTTTCAATATTTCAATTTTTCAACTTTTCGATATTCAATTTTTTTAATTAAAAAAAAAAAAGGAAAAATTGAAGCCAAATAGTGAAAAGTCCCAAAATTAAAATATCGAAATCTAAAACATCAAAAAATCGAAAAATTGAAAAATCCAAAACTCAAAAAATGAAAAATCGATTTACTTTTTCTATTTTCAATTTTTACATTTTTTAGCTTTTCGATTTTCGACTTCTACTTTTTGATTTTTCGAGTTTACAATTTTCTTCCATTTTTCAATTTTCGAGTCTTAAGGTTCGGTATTTTTCAACCTTTCCATTGGATTTTCCAATTTTTTACCTCTTTGATTTTTCATTATTTCGATTTTTTAACTTTTCTCTATTTTTCAATTTTTCGAATAAAAAAGAGAAAAATTGAAGCCAAATTGTGAAAAATCCCAAAACTGAAATATCGAGAAATTGAAAAATTAAAAAATCTAAAACTTCAAAAATTGAAAAATCGATTTACGTTTACGATTTTTCGATTTTTCAATTTTTTACCTTTTTGATTTTTCAATTTTTCGATTAAAAAAATTGAAAAATAGAAGCCAAATAGTGAAAAAGTCCAAAACTGAAATATCGAAAATCAGGTGCATCAAAAAATCGAAAAATTGAAAAATTAAAAATCTAAAACTCAAAAACTGAAAAACAGATTTACTTTTCGATTTTTCATTTTTTGGATTTTTTAATTTTTCAATTTTTGGGCCTTTGACTTTCTGATTGTTCTATATTTCGATCCGGTTTTTCGATTTCTCAATTTTTTATCTTTTTGATTTTTCAATATTTCAATTTTTCAACTTTTCGATTATTCAATTTTTTTAATTGAAAAAAAAAATGGAAAAATTGAAGCCAAATGGTGAAAAGTCCCAAAATTGAAATATCGAATTCTAAAACATCAAAAAATCGAAAAATTGAAAAATTCAAAACTCAAAAAATGAAAAATCGATTTACTTTTACTATTTTCAATTTTTACATTTTTTAGCTTTTCGATTTTCCACTTCTACTTTTTGATTTTTCGAGTTTTCAATTTTCTTCCATTTTTCAATTTTCGAGTCTTGAGCTTCGGGATTTTTCAACCTTTCCATTGGATTTTCCAATTTTTTACCTCTTTGATTTTTCATTATTTCGATTTTTTAACTTTTCTCTATTTTTCAATTTTTCGAATAAAAAAAGGGGAAAATTGAAGCCAAATTGTGAAAAATCCCAAAACTGAAATATCGAGAAATTGAAAAATTAAAAAATCTAAAACTTCAAAAATTGAAAAATCGATTTACATTTACGATTTTTCGATTTTTCAATTTTTTACCTTTTTGATTTTTCAATATTTCGATTTTTCAATTTTTCGATTAAAAAAATTGAAAAATAGAAGCCAAATAGTGAAAAACTCCAAAACTGAAATATCGACAATCAGGTGCATCAAAAAATCGAAAAATTGAAAAATTAAAAATCTAAAACTCAAAAACTGAAAAACAGATTTACTTTTTCGATTTTTCATTTTTTGGATTTTTTAATTTTTCAATTTTTGGGCCTTTGACTTTCTGATTGTTCTATATTTCGATCCGGTTTTTCGATTTCTCAATTTTTTACCTT